GACCTTGAATTTGGGAGGGAAACTGATGTCCTTTACGAGGCACATGTCGCCCACCTCCTCGACGTCGAAGTTATGCAGTCCTTCGACCGCCTTTCAAACTCTCTTCCAGTATGAGCTTGTTGTTTGGATATTTCCTGTGGTAAGGATGCGAGCTGGCTCTTAACATCCTTATCACCATAGAAGTGTTCTTCTTCCTCCTCCTCTTCATGAGAAGGATGAGGCTCAGCCTGGGCCCTTGCCGCTCTCTTTGCCCGCCTTGGCGCACGACCCTCCATTAATCGGGCCACCTCCGCTTCGCCGAGGGATATTAACCCTCTCGCAAGTGGAGCTTCCGGTAAGCGCCTCCTCTAGATTTTCCATCGCTTTAGCCTTGCGCACGAGTATGAGTGGGGAGAGGACCAGACCACTTCCTAGGAATGTCCAAGAAGCTGTCAATGCCCATGGCCGAAAGTGTTTAAGCTATCATGAGTATGCTTAGGTATGAGTAAGCCAAACAATAAAGCATGTTATAATACAAGGTAGGTAAAAGCGCTATTTTCTCGGTTTAATTATTTTGGCCACCCATCACTAAATGGGATCAACTCTCTAGCTGCTGAGCGCCATTTTCAGACCCTCTTGATTTTCGCATTCTTATCGGCGTGGTTACAACGTCCTTCGGTTGTCCGATAACCGGCTAACCTAGAGACGAGGTTTTCAAAAGTGTTCTTGAGCCGTCCGATAACCGGCTAACCCAAGGACTTATTTATTTTGGGTTCTATGGAGTCGCCACCGATATTTTTACCATAAACATCGGAAAAGGGTTTTAAAAGGCGTCGAGTTTTTCGAAACCAACTTTGGTCATTAGAACGTAGTTGGGTAAGGGAGTTAGCTACGTGAAGCAGAGTATGAGTCCCTTTTACGACGCCCCTTCGTGTTCCCTATGATAGTGCCCCGCTTATTTGTGAATAATTAAACTTGGAAAATTGCGCTTTTACCCTTTTTTATTATGCGAATTTAAATATATGACTACATGGCCCTAGCTTCTATTGCGTAATTTAAATAGCAAAGAAAAATAGAGATGAGGATATGCACCTCCAAAGCAAGCTTTATATTAAAAAGAGAGGGTGCGTTTTGGCAACTTCTCTTCACTCTACAACTCTCGAAACTCGGAAATGCCTCGAGGGATTCTAAAGAAGATTTAGAACACTCAGGTATGCCTGCAGACGCCGAAACTCCCCGAAATGCCTCGAGGGATTCTTAGAGAGAGAAATTCCTAGAGAGAAGGGAGAGCTCTTGCCGTCAGGGGTGTGGAAAAGGGAGAAAATGACGCCCCTATTTATAGTTTTTCGCGCCCGATGTGTCGAGACCGTCTCCGACATGTCGACCACCGTCCTCGGAAAGTCCGCACCGCCGTCTCGTTCGGGTGGTAGTGGGTCGAGACCGCCAAATCGAAACCCAGACCGCCGTCTCGACTGGGCAGAATTGAGACCGCCGCGCCCGGAAAATCCGCACCGTCGTTCCGATTCAAGCGAAGTGACGAGACCGCCGCCGTCCGGAAAATCGAGATTCGCGGGCCCGCTCCGCGTTGAAATCGAGCCGTCCGGCATTCCCAGACGGCGGCCTCTGCCCTTCAAAGGAAAACTTTATTTTTTGGCCAAAAACCTTCCTATCTTAAAGACGGGCCTAATAGTCTCTCCTAATGGCTTTGCTAGGCTTCGCCGTGCCGATATGTGTCTATTGAAGCTTTATCTCCATATGGGAAGTCTCCTTGGCTCTTATTTGTAATGCTAGACGAGCTTTATCTTGTTACGGGTGATCTCCTTTATCTTTATTTGAGAGGCCGGGCAAAATTAGGGGTCTACAAGGAGGAAGGGAGAATGCAAGAATGAGATGCCATGAGCCATTTGGGGCGCCCAAATTTATAAGCAACAGAAACAGGGGCGGACGACTGTCTGCTCTAGGTGGACGGCCGTCTGCCCCCAACGGCTACCCATGGACGGTCGTCTGGCAAGGGTGGACGGTCGTCTGCCCCCAACGGGAACCTCTGGATGGCCGTCTGGCGAGGATGGACGGCCGTCTGCCCCCTAATGGCTCCTTCTGGATGACCATTTGCCTTAAACGGACGACCATCTGCTCCTTTTTTGTGTTTTTTTGTTTTTTGCTTTTGTTTATTATTTTTGGAGGAAATAAAACCTTATTCATCAACATCTATGCATGTAATGCTCATGATATGCAACTTATAATGCTATTTCAATTAATTACTTTCAGAAAAGTTAACTGATGTACTCTTGACGGAGAGATGCTTCTGACGGAGAGATTCTTTTGGTGCTACCTTCAGCTGTACCATTTCTGCCGTTTTGGATTTTGCCTTAACCGAAGAATGATCGTGTTGGAGAGCTATTTCATCATACTAGTGTGCTTCTTCCCTTTTTCGTAATTTCAATCCTCCTATTGATTATTGTGCTTTCATATTACCCGGTTAATCGCTAGAATATCATAGTGATAAGGGTCAAGAGAAAAGAAGGAAAAGGATGATTAGAACAAAGGTTTGTGTTTTAGAGGGGACTTCTTGAAACCAATGGTATCTGTAAGCATGGCTAGCCGGGGTTAGTTAAACTGTTTAGGCTTAGCTTAAACAAACGTTTGTTTGCGGTGTTGTGTCTTTGCTTGGTGAGCTTTACGACGCTTTGTTTAAGACTGATTGTCTTTCCTAGACCGCCCTTCGGGTTTTCAATCTAGTATGTTTCGTTTCGTCCTAACTTTTGCCTAGGTTTCATTTTTCTTGCTTTAGGAAACCTAGCGGACTTTATTTGTAACCCTATCTTTTGCCTAGGCTACCCTTTATTATTGGTCAGGTTTCCTAGCAGGTTGAACTTAACTTTTGCATAGCCCCCTTTTGTGGGTTTCCTACCAGGTTATATGCCCTTTCTTTTTGGCCTTTGGCTTTTATGGGCTTTCTTATTATTCTGGCAATTTTGGTAAGACACGGTTTCACTATGATGGGGTAAAACTTTATTCGTGTTCTTTATACATCAATGACGGTTTATTTGTTTTTTACTGTAGATGCGCTTTCAAGCTTTTAGACGCTTTTTAGAAACATTTGCTTGAGCGTGGTTATTAATGAGGCGTAGACATGAGTAGTAAAAAAAGAAGCAGATAGTAAGAAATCTATTCTCATATGATTAAAAGGGTAATATGTGCCCTGAAAATGACCGGGGGTCGGGATGCCCCCGGGGAGTAATCTCTAATAGTCATTGAGTTTACATTCCTTAAAAAATGGAAGAAGAACACCTAATGACTAAAGTTGCTTTTGACGCCTGTATCCCTCCGCTTCGGAAGATCTGATTCAGCGGGCGGAGGGAAGACTTTCCCTTTATTCTTGTATTAGGGTTATACCCTAGGCCGCGTTTCAAAGGATTGTCTTTGAAATCTGGTGGCTCTCTTATTCCTTGGGAACTTGCACCGAGTCCCTGGCCTGGGCGGTATCCGTACTTCGTCATCATATGTGCCACCCTCATGTTATTGGGAAGTCTTTAAACATTGGCAATCTCCAGCGCCTGAAAGGCTGTCTCGAAGGCCTCTTCTGTTGTATCCACATAAGGTAGGGTAGACGGCTTGCTAATCAAGATGTCATCTTCGGCTTGAACTGTGACCAGTTTGTCGTCTACCATGAATTTGATGATCCTTTGATGGAGTGTTGATGGGATTGCTCTGGCATCGTGAATCCAAGGTCTGCCAAGGAGGCAACTGTAAGCAGGAGTGATATCCATCACATGGAAGTCCACGTTGAAAGTAGTGGGCCCTACTTGGATTTGTAGATTGATTTCTCCTACTACCTCGCGCTTTGATCTGTCGAAGGCTCGAACGACGGTGTTGCTTGGACGCATATGGGCTCCTTGAATTGCCAATTTGTCAAGCGTGCACCTAGGCATGACGTTCAGGGATGACCCATTATCCACCAAGACTTTGGCGATGAGGTATTCTCTACACTTGACAGATATGTGTAAAGGCTTGTTATGGCTTAGCCCTCCAGGAGGAAGTTCTTCATTGGTGAAGGTAAGATGATCATTGGCTGTGATATTCCCAATGATTCCTTCGAACTTGTCTTGGGATATGGTGTGGGACACGTAGGCTTCGTTCAAGACCCTTAACAGTGCGTTTCGGTGTGGTTCCGAACTCATTATCAAAGACAACAAAGTTATCTTCGCGGGCGTGCGATTGAGTTGGTCTATGATGGAATATTCACTCTGCTTTATGTACTGGAGTAATTCGTCTGCTTCCTCCTTGGATTCTCCTTTGTTTTCTTCTTCAGTTTCTTTGTTTTTCCCTTTATTTTTGGGGGCATCTTCTTGTGAATCCTTGGGAGCATATATTCGCCCACTTCTGGTTGTGCTCCCAATACTGGCTATATTGGAAACGTCTTCATTTACTGCATATTTCCATGGTACAACTTTGTTTGATTCGTAGGGGAAAGGACGAGGCATAAATAATCGCAGTGGTGTCCTAGTCTCCTCTTCTTTACCGATCGTGATAACCAGCGGTTGAATTTTATTGTCCGTTGTGGGTGGCTCAACCGTTGAGGAAAGACTGATGATGAGTGGTTTCCGTTCCATTTTATATTTTATGACAGCACATCAGTTAACCTTTCTTTTTTATTATCTTATTAATTTTTAAAGCAAGGAGAGATATGTGAATGAATGCGAGATGAATGCAATAAACAGTTGTATAGATAAACAAAACGTGATTCTATTTATCCGGAAAAAGTGTACATTCCCCTAGACCATGCTACGAAGTACATTTTGGCAGAAATGGTAAAGCCTAAAGAAACCCACAAGCGGGCTCTAGTTTCTACGTAATTCCTCCTCGGCTTCCCGTACATGGTGAGTGAGTACTTCAGACTGGCGATGGACTGCCTGGCTCATATCTTCACTGTATTTACAAGCCTCTTCTATCTTTGCCTCTTGATGGATGACCAATTCCTGTAAGTCATCAAGTTTCTCAAGGGCTTGATCTCTTTCTTGCAACACTTGGCCGTACTGAGCTAATCTGTCTCTTTCCTTGCATCGTAGCTCAGTCAAGTCTCTACTAAGTCTTTGGGCGACTTCCCTCTTTTGTTGTGCGTCAGACCGAGTTCTTTCACGGTCTTGTTGTATTATCTTGGTCACCTGTGCCTGCTTTGCCAATTTGGCCTCAAGGTGTGCTAATTTGGCCGTTATTTCCTGGATTTGATTATCCGAGCTCGCTCTTGCAACTTTAGATGCTCGGACAACCTCTTTGTTGGAGTCAGCACACTGGTCCTTGAGACGCTCTATCTCTTGGTCCTTCTTCTTGCATTGTCTTTGCAGACCATCGATGGTAAGGATAGATTCTTGTTCTTTTTCTTCAAGGCCCCTCAATTGGGCTCCCATAATTTCTATCCTTTGGGTCAAGGCATCAACTCGGGTTCGTAGTTCTGCATTTGTTGATGGTGAGGGGGATGGAGTGGATGGATGTGGCACCCCTCTATTCTTCCTCCATTCCTCGAAATCACTAGAAACTGCTACTCGAGCCCTGCCAAGCTCTTCGTCCCCCTCATAGACTGGTCTCTCCCATGCTTTTCGGATCGCAGAAGCGTCCTTGAAGCTGTTAGAATTGCAGAAGAAACATAATCCCCCGATTTCTTCCTGTGTTGGGGTGGTATGGGTCCTCATGAGCTACCTCAGAGCTATCTTCGGAGAATAAGCTATGAAACCCCTGAGGCCCAATAATGGCACACAGGGGTGATCTCCGCATCATATGAGAACGGGGCCAGGTCGAAACCAAGGACATGCCCAAGATATGTGATCTTTGTTCCAGTGCTCCAACTCAGTCTTCCACTCCATGGCACCACGATGATGGAGGGGGATCTTCGAGAAGCTTCTCAACAGGTCTGGGAATGCTCCCATGTGACTTGAAGCATAGAAGTGAGTGATACCCCAAACAAACAATAATGCAGAACAACAACCAAGTGTTTTTCCTTGCTTATGATGACAGAATTCTACTGACAGCAAGGTGTCGGCAAGAAGAGCAGGCATGGGACTTTTTAAATGTGCCTCCCAAGCAAAGAAGGCGTCCATTGCGGCCTGATCTACGGCGTCGTTATGGAAAGGGAATAGAAAGGTCCCAAACATAATTAATGCCAAAGTCTTGTTGAAAGTGGGCCAATCTCCTTTTTCAGCCAGAGAGGATAAGTGGTCCTCTAAAAGTGATATCTTCCACCCCTGAATGCTCCCTTTTCCCTTCAGGGCAGACTGTTAAAGTGGTAATCGGATGAGGTGAGCGACCTTGTTTACTAAGACGTAGGCCCCCTGGCTAATGTATACCCCAGCTGACTTGGGCCATTTGATCATAAGTTCGTACTCTTCCAAAGTCGGAACCAAATCAAACTGAGGGAGCTCGAAGCAGTGCAATTTGGAGCTCCAGAAGTGGATTAGGACCCTGACGAACACATGGTCAACAAATATTTTTAAGAGGTCCAAAATCCGTCCGTAAGATCTCTCGAAGTCGGATCGAACTTCTGATGGCATAAGCGTGCATAACTTCTCCAACTTCTCAACAAGGTATCGGGGAATATCCACTTTTCCCAACTGTTTACTGCCTGATCCCTCCATTTTCTAGAAATGACAAAAAATGCATGGTATGAGCATGATGCTTTCGTATGCATGAAAGTGTTTGTTTTTTCTAAATATTATCATGTTTTATTCTCTATATGGTACATGATTTTTGTATATATATATGTCGCCGCCTCCCAAAACGAAGGGGCGGTCGGAGCGACGCGATGGTTTCGACCCTTTTGTTTTCGCGTTTTTTATGGGTGGTTACAACGCCTTTAGGTTATCCGATAACCGGGCTAACCTAGGGGCGAGGTTTTCGAAAGGTTGTCCTTGGGTTGTCCGATAACCGGGCTAACCCAAGGACTAATTTTGAAGGGTTCTGTGGAGTCGCCACCGATGTTTTTACCAGAAACATCGGAAAAGGGGTTTTAAAAGGCGTTGGTTTTCGAAAACCAACTTTGGTCATTAGAACCATAGTTGGGTAAGGGAGTTAGTTACGTGTAAAGGAAGTATTAGTTCCTTCACGACGCCCCTTTCGGGTTCCCTATGATAGGCCGACTACCTAAAAATATTTAAACCGGTGAAAATA